TTTTTTTTTTTTTGATTTTTCCTCAGTGCTGAAGGTTTTTTGCAGGAATTTGTACTCAATCCAACCCTAACTCCGTTGATCAAAGTGAACACTGTCAAGGACATTGCTAAAAGTTTGAGTATAAGCAAGGGAGCACTCAATTTTTTGGGTATGTTTTGGCACCAATCTTACGTTATTGTTTTTTAACAAAGGCTTTTTTTTAAAAATGATTTTATTAATTTACAAATTTTGTAATTCTCATCTATCACCTTCCTTTTTGCTCTTCTCTTTTCATCCGTTGTTAATATACCTTCCTATTAATATATCTTCCTATGAGCAATTTCGCCAGAAGTATTTGTGCTGAATTCTTTCTTCGTTCTTGTAAGGATAGGTGCTAGGTATGACGAATTTCTTTTGCCGCCTGCGAGTTTCTTCGGATTACCTCTTCCAGAGCCATCGCCATCAGTAATAGGGACAGCTGATATGGGAAAAGAAGTAATAAAACGAAGATTTCGGTACAAAAATTGAGTTATGTTAGGTCCTTACGTGATTTTTGTCTACAGCAGCGGAAGATAGCGAAGAGTGCCAGCACTTTATTCCCAACGAAAGTTTCACTTCAATACAACGACGAGCCGGAGCGCCGCACAAGCTATTCAGCAGGAGGAGAACGCTAGTTGTGTCGAGTCGGCCAGTTTATAGCGTTAGTTATGGCAGGACGTGGCAGACCAGTGACGCGCATTGATTCCGAAACTGAGAAGCTGGGTTTTTGGAAGAGGTTTATATAGGAAAAATTAATGGAGGAAAAAGGAGGGCAAGATAGGTAGTAAGTGAGAAGATAGATAATATGGAATTGTTTGGAATTTGGTGGAATTGTAAGAAATTATTGAGTGGAGGGAAGTAGGTCGAAATGTTAGCGATTAGTGAGAGGAGGGAAATGGGTGAAATTGTAGGGTTACAGTTATAACACAAGAATCTCAGACATTATTAGGGCATTTTTCACAAAAACACGTGACACAAAACAGCAATTCTGTGTTAAGAAGTTGATTTTCGTATGAAATTTCTCAAAACTGCCGACACAACGGTTTTTAGTACAAATATACATTTACTCATCAAACAGGAAATCCGTAAATGCAATGCGTTTGATGAAAATGGACACGTCCCGCCAAATCACATGTTAAGGCAGATTACGTGACCAGGAATTATATTTTTGTTCATTTTCCAAGGATTGTGATTTACTTATGGAGTTTTAG